TGTGGAATGATTTATAGGCAGATTGTAGCGGCTCTGTGAGTTGGTAGAAGTCAAGATAAGCTTGAAGACGCACTGCCACAACCTTCTCAATGACTTTCGAGATAGCCTTAAGGTTCGAAATAGGCCTAAAATTACCAAGAACTTCGTGGTCAAGGTTCGGTTTCTTGAGAAGAGGGGTTACAACAGCGTTTTTAAGGGACGAAGGTAGAAAACCAGATACCAGTGACAGGTTTACAATACTACAAATAGATGATAGGAGCAGGTCCAGATGTTCTTGAAGTAACGTGGCTGGTAAAGGATCCAGACAGCAGGATTTCTGCACAACAGAGCGGGCAATCTTCGATAGTTCAAGATTTGAAATAGGTGAGAAGTTGCTAAGCTCACAATTAGTGGTGGAAATATCCAGTGAGGAAAAGTAATCCGGAATTTCAGAAGGAGTAGGTATACTTCTAATACGGGTTATTTTATCTTCGAAGAAGGTAACAAATGTATTAGCGAGATCTTCAGCTGATGTGCTGGTTGGATAACTTTTCTCTGCTTTCCTGTGGAGGAGACGGTCGATTAATCGAAATAGGGCTTTGTTGTCGTTGCCAGCCTCTGAAATACGATTAGAGTAGTAATCCATTTTTGACTTTAAAATGGTGTTCTGAAGAATAGTGCGTTGATTAGCGTAAGGTCGATAGTGTGATTCAAGTTTGGAGCATCGCCAGCGCCTTTCAAACTTGCGGCAGGTTGTTTTCTGTTTTCTGATTTCCTCGCTGTACCAGGGAGCATTAGGTCGCAGATTGATGATTCTTGTGCGCAAAGGTGCATGTTTGTCTAAAATGGAAAGTAAAACCGAGTCATACTGGTCACAGAGTTCCGTAATTTCCTGAGATGGTGAGTTATATAAGGCGGAGGAACGAATATCACGCCGTAGGTTGTCTGGATCAATGGTACGCAGTTTACGTGATGAGATGGTGAGCTTAGCTTTAGGTGGTCTCTTGATCGCCAAGGTGCAAAGAACAGCAAAGTGATCAGAGATAACCGGGTCGTTGATGGATAAATTTAAGACAGTTTCTTCGCCGGATCTTGTGATAATGAGGTCAAGGGCGTTGTTGTTTTTGTGCGTCGGGGTGAGGACATTACAGACTTCCAGATTGAAACAGCTTAAAAGGTCGAGAAACTTATTGGCAGTGTTGTCAGATGAATCGTTGACATGAAAATTGAAATCACCGGCTAGAAGAAGACGGCCGGTGGAAGACACTAGCCTTTCCAGCAGTGAAGAAAAATCATCAAAAAAAGCAGCATGTGTAAGACCATTCTTGACAGAAATTGGAGGGCGGTAAATAACAATAATACGTATGATAGATGAGGAACAGTGAAGCAGTAGAAGGTCAGCACTTGCATACTAAAAAAATATTTTGAAAAGTGGAAAGGTGAAAAACGTCTTACAGCTTTAGGACAAGAGTGTCTTCAGCAGCTATGGGTAAGCAAATTAAAAGCTTTGGAATAACTGGTAAAATGACGGATATACGATGTCCTTACACTTGGTACACAGTTATGTGTAATTAACAGTATCCAAAACAGTATGCACTTGTGTCCTGACAAAGTTGCTGAAGAGTGGTAAAGTGAAAAATCTCTAACAGCTTTAGGGTAAGAATTTCTGCAGTAGTTATAGATGAGCAAATTAAGAGCTTTGGTATAATTAGTAACAATAGTGGATATACAATATCCTTACACTTAATATACGTCTATGCGTAATGATCAGCATACAAAACAGTATACACTTGTGTCCTGACAAAATTGTCGGAAAGGGTGCAGAAAAATTGCTTTTCTGTAAATTTTTAGTGCAATATATACGCAAAAATTTAAAAATTTAAATTTTTAAATTTAAAGCATTATAATGCTTGGTGAAAAACTGGATATAGGGTGTCCTAATACTTAGTATACGGTTATGTGTAATAATCAGTACACAAAACAGTATACACTTATGTCCAGACAAAATTGTCGGGAAAGGGTACAGAAAAAAACTGCCTCTCAGTAAATATTCAGTATAGAAATATCTTCAGTAGTTGTATGTAAGTAAATTACGTAAATTTGTAGCTTCATAACAATTGGTGAAATACTGGCTATACGATGTCCTAACACTTAGTATACGGTCATGTGCAACATCTAGTATACATAGGAATAAGGTATCAAACATATACTGATCATTACTCTGTCCTTATACATCGATGTCCTTATATGCCAGTATATCTCTCCGTGTACGTCATGTATACGGGCTCATTACACCCCCTGATATTTGTTAATTCACGCAGTGAGAAGCCAAAGACATTGAATATGAGAATTTAAAACCAGCCCATGGGTATGTTAATGCTTTACCATCAGAAAACGTGTGGAAAGCCATGGTGGACTGTTTGTTAGACATTCTGCGTTAATCCAGGAATATAAAGCGAAAGTAAACTAAATTCTGAAAGCACTTTTGGTGGAAGTTTAATGGTGGAAATCGAGTCCACAGGTTTTCCTTCCCTCCCAAAAACCTTTGTATTCTTAAAATTCCGTTTGAAATCGTTCCTCAAATTAATCAACAACATACCTAGATTTACTTCCCCTTTTTTTTGTTTGTTTTTATTTGTTTATTTAGACTCCAACGTAAACCATTTGTCCAACGGGAGGGTGTAGATACCATACTGTGTTTAGAGCCAATGATGATAATTACGTATAAAATTAATTAAATCACCTAATGTGATCCCCATTTGATTTTTCAAGATTAGGTTACGAGAAAATGAAACATAAAAATAATAAAAAATAAAAAAAAAAAAACCCGAAACGTCTAAGTGTGTTCAAACAACCAGCTACATCTATCTATCTATTCCCTTATATATCTATTTAAACATTGCAGTTTTCTGGGGAAACATCACATTATTGCAGTAGAGGTAGAGGGTTCTCATTTAAAAACAGGCATTACGTTTCACAACCAGTAGTATTTTTGCCAAAGAGTCTATATCTTCAGAAGGAATCGAGAGCACAGTTCGAGAAACCTTGTCTGTCAAGTCGATAAAACCATCAGTTTTCTCACAAATAAAACTGAATATTTTTCAGGCTCCAGAAGGCGAGGGTTCCCGAACTTACACATCTACAATGGAAGACGGCTACATTGAATATGTGAATCAAATACCTACTCCTGAGTATGTTAGTGCTTGAGTGAGTTGTTCGTGAGACGGGTGGCGCTAATTAAGGATTATAAAGCTGAAGTAAACGATGTAATGATATTACTTGTCCCAGCAAGGCCACAAAAGAAAAACAAGAATTTCCGTTGGTTTAAATTAAGTCGTGGTTTGAGAAACCCACTAATTGTAAATGGACTGTAAATTATGCCATTTTGTCTTCCAAACAATATTTTTTGTTCACGCATGCTGCACCTTATAATGTGAAACTCGATGTTATTACTGCTTGGAACTTGTATCAGATTCGCCACCAAAAATAATAGTAATAATAGTTATAATGATAATAATATATGATATGATAGTAGAATAAGGAGAAAGCAAAAGCTTTTTAGTAATATAGCTATATGAATTCGTAATTTACTATCATTAAGTATGTTTTCAAAATGAAACATTACATACCAGTTTAGTTCCATAGTACAGTAAATGCTTAGCCCATAGTAAACTAAAAATAAATTAATTTAAAAAAAATCAGATTATTACTAACACTATAATCATTGATAGAGAAAACAAGTACAACAAGGCGAAGCAACTGTATCTGCACACGCGCAAATGTTTGAGAGCAGAGTTGGCGTGATGGCTGAAGGAGCTCGCCTCCTAGCGTAAGTTATAGCGTTGACATATCGATGCTTTTTTCGACTACGAGGTTTTTTTTTTCAGAATTTAAAGAAAAAGGCCTTGAGGTCGTTGTTATTTTACTTATTCTGTATCACGTAGTATACTGGTGATTATTCGGTAGGACTTTAGTTTGAGGTTTTTTTTAGCTTTGTTTTGGAAAACACAACGATAAGGATGAATATCTTAGCATAAAGTTTTCAGTTAATCAACCAATACAACAACTCTGTATTAATCTTATACACAGTTCATAGTTTCCGTGTCAGCCGAATTTTCAGTCTGGTTGATTTGTCTGATTGTAGTGTCGTATAACATTTAGACTACGATTTCGATTCCCTCGTAGTGCGTTAGTACTTTGGCGTATAGTAGGTTATTACAAGATCCATACCAAGAGAACGATTTAGTCTGTGTAAAAAATATGAATAAATAAATGACTGAAATAACTTGAGTGTTTTTGACCTTGTTTATCAAATCTACATGCGAATCGTTGTAATTACTCACCCATGCAGACAGATTCCCTTGATGGGTTCCGGTCCTCGTGTTTTCATTCCATCGATATAATTTTTATTAAAATAATTAAGTAAATACTTTCAATTAAGAAATCAAAGTAAAAAGATATAAATTTGAATGATCAAACTGTGTTAGCAGGAAGACTAGCTGATCGCTTCAAAAATGAGTGCGAACTTCGCACTCACTTTTGAAACCAAGCGCTGTTAATATCTATCGAGCTATCTAGAAGACCACAGGCAATATGTACATACGTTCATACACAAATAATAGAGACAAAAGAATCTTGCGTTAATTTTTTTTCCTTAATTGTGGCGTTCAGTTTCTTAGACGGTGCTTGACCCTACGACCTCAATCCCGTCGGCAAAGCTTTTCAAGAACGTTCCAGAAATATCCAACGCAATACACCCTGCTTATTTAAAATAAACCAGAATCCTTTGCCTCTCCTCTAATGACCCAAAGCTAAATAGAAGCTGGCAGTAGAAATTTGCGTTGTTTTATCATTCAAAATTTCCCTTTTTCGAATTCTCATTCAACGTTAAAATCAAGTTCCTTTTAAACTATTTTTAAGTGATCTCCTGTCAAACTTCTGCGATTCCTCTCAAGTTACACCTTGAATGACCAGAAATATGTTAATTGCTCGTTTGAGTGTAAATTTCACTTTCGTGGCATTTCAAACTCTCTCGTTCAGAGCATAGGCCTAGGACGATGAATTTCGCGAAGATACATGTATGGATCGTGCTTGCAATTGATTTGTTACTGCCGAGAACTGGTAAGTGAAATGGAATTGAAAATAATCCTTGACTTCACGAGTTTTGTTGATGTACGTACGTGATTGATACTTAAGGATCAAATCTAATATCTTACGCATCCAACGCTTTAAATTGCGAAATTCATCACCAAAAATGACTTGCTTACATATAAATGATTGGTGAATTATGTTTTGATCGTTTTTAAAGAAGAACTATCTCGCACTTTACCAAAACACACTTCACACTACACAACAATGGTCGATTGAATTGAAAAAGAAGTAGAGGCTTCCATTATGGAAATAGATCCATGTATTTTGATCCGTAGTAACGTGTTTGCTTTGAGTTCAACTTTCTCGAATTTGGAACTGTGAACAGCTTTCATTTAGTTGTCGCTACGGAGCTGTACGTGTCATGTACATCGCGACCGCTTGCTTTATTGTTATAAAAATGTCGTGCGGCGATCCTTGTCAAAGATGGCGTGACTTATTTGCCATCGATCAAATGTAACATAAAAATTTAATCTATATCAATTGCGAATTTTTACGATGAAAATGACTTACATACGCAGATATTATTTGTAACGATACCTAAACAGGCGGGCAGGTACCAAAACATCAACTTATATTTAACCCAAGAACAGAGCTACAATTTACTATGCTAACAACATGGCCGACACACGAGGAAGCTGTTCCCAAGATGCCATGCGGCCGCAGGAAGCTCAATGCTTCATGTAAGCGTACTCGTTACATTATTGATACACTGCATTCTGACTGTTAGGAAAGAAGACTTTTCACGTAGTTTGCCTTAACACAATGCAAGCTGCCCAACGATTGTCGACTGGAATGAAAAGGAAACACATGCATTATTAATCAAATTCAACATGTCATCCCGGAACACGGATCGGATCACGGATAAAATGAAAAATATGTCAAGCCAAAATAAAGCCTGCGTGGCATATTTGAGCGCAGGCCCCACTAGAAGTGAGGGAGAGTTTTCAAAATTTTAAAAATCAAATAATTTACAAAGTAATGAACAGTTTAAAAAAGAGGGGGTGAAAAAAATTAACATTATTTCAATAAAAAGTACAGATGTTGCGTAACGCGCCAAAACAGAGTCTGTGTGACATAATGGAGCGCAGGCCCATTTTATTGTTGTTGTTGTTGTTGTTGGTTTTGTTTTTTGTTTTTTCATTCTTCAATCAGCATGGGGGCATTGGGGTTTTCGGTTTGACGATTTTGGCTATTTTCATATCCGATTTTCGGTTTTTGTGCCAAAAAACTTTGGTCTCTCGGTTTGTTGTTCATTTCGGTTTGCGGATTTTACGCGGTTTAGCAGTTGGTTTTCGGTTTTCGTCAAAAATGCAAACGGGTTCTCGGAATTTTTTCGATTTGTCTTTGATCTGAGCGGCAATTGAGCCCCTCCACTGGTCTCGAACAATCGCGAAACGCAGATGTTCTTGAGAGCAATGTGTAACAAACCAACTGTCAAAATAACTTCTAGTTGGTGAAATTTCGTTGCGATTTATGGAAGGTCACGCATCTTAGCACTCAGGTCGATCAGTTTGCGAACTATGGCTTAATTAATTTCGTTGCGATTTATGGAAGGTCACGCATCTTAGCACTCAGGTCGATCAGTTTGCGAACTATGGCTTAATTAATGAAAAATAAATAAAAACATGGGTAAATGAATAGGTAATTACCTTATTGATTAATGCGTGAATAATGATGGTGATCACCCTCTATCAAGTCACGCGTTCAGTTATAATCCTAAGCTTCAGAAAGTTCAATCTGTAATCCATTCTCACAAACTCTCTCGCCTCCTCCTGTTGTTGATTATTGATAGAGCTTAAAAACAACATCTTTGCAATGTTTCTTGTTTTTTTTTGTTTCTCAGTAGATGGAGAGAGGCTTTGTTCGTGTTATAGCTTTAATAACAAGTCAAGTGGTATGGCGTGGCCACAAGCAAATGGTATCTGTAAACACCACAACAAAACCCTTGTGGTGATGGAAACAGAGCAGGAATGGGAATTTATCAAAAATGCGATTCAAAATCGAGTAGGCAGTAAATATGGTGAATGGTTTATTGGTTTGGTGAAAGATATGACAACAAAGAATTGGACTTGGATCAATGGCAAACCTCTGACTATTGACAAATGGGAGGGGTCAAATCCTGACCCAGCTGACCATTACGGGATAATTCATGAGGAACTTCCATCTGGAATTAAAGGATCTTTTAGCACTGTTAAAGAAAACGTACAAAGAGGATGGATTTGCGAGAAAGAATCAGGTATTGATCAGGACTAGATAAAACAAACAATTTTATCTTAATCAAACATAATTATCATGGACAGATCTGAATTAACTATAGGCTACTTTTCCCCTTCCTTTCCCACCCCTAATCTTTCCTTTTCCCACCTTACATTTTTCCGGAACCCGCCCATCGCGACCACCTCATAGGGAAGGCTTATAATTTCGGGGAAACAGTGCCCGAAATATCATCCACTTTGATAAAGCTTTATACATAACTTATAAGAGAACTTCAAGGATGTATAGATTCGTGG